TAAGGAGTACACAACACAACGTTTAATAGTTGCTGACAGACTGACTTTACATTTTATTTATTTGGTTACCTTCAATACAAAATATGCAACAACATTATGTCTAACATTATATGTCACAATCTTATTATTTATTACCTAAATAATTATATACCTTTAATAATTTAAATTATTTCCTAACTGTAATAAAGTTCAAATAATTAATATTATATTTATAACTCTATAGAGAACTTTTCATAAATTCATTGACGTTATAACAAAAAGCGTAAATGGACTAATGGAGGTTTGCAAAAACCTCTTTGTGGTGGAATTGTATGTAGCAACGGTCGTAAAAACTAACATTCTCCATTATTGGAATAAACTATATAGTTTAAAACTAACTAACAGAAGATATTCAAAGTAATGAGCATTTTCTGTTGCTCTATATGTTTCTGTATATGTTATAGTGCAGCGGATCCTTAGAGTTCCATATCAGATGTTTCAAATCTTCATATTATAATCAATCAGAAGATATGCTTATGTGTGGAATAATTTTTGTTCTAGCATCATTTCGGTATCGCCTACTGTTTCGTCGGTCTATTAGGATTCCATATAATGTCCACATAAAGATGTTATGCGGTAGACTCTCAGTATTAATAAAGTGGTTACGTCACTTAAATTATTAATAATTTAATTAATCTTGGTACTATTTTTTCCTGTGCTATACGCACTAATACCGCCGTAATAATTTAGTACCGCAAGGAATCACCATGAGGAGCTAGAAGGGTTGATGATATGCCCTGGAAACCTTTGATCTACACTATTTAGTTTGGGCTCCTTACTGATATACTAATAGACTCAGGAATTGGCCGAGGGGACACGTATTAGTGTAGCAAAATCGCCAACTAGACTTTTGTAACAAATTATTATATACTAGCTTGAATGAAATCTATCTCTATGTCGTTGAGAGTATGCATTAGTGACAAGACTCCTTGGTTCCTACCTTATCTTACCGTTGAACTAGCTGTAGTTTGTAGAGCGCATGTGTGAACTCTCTCCTCAGTTATGGTACCAGGAAATCGCTATCAAGTAGCCAGCAGTCTATAATTTTAAAATTAATCTGAAATGTGATCTAACTCATTACACGTGTCACATTTTTTTTTTAAAAGGTGGAATGCTAAAAACAATATTCAATATTTCTACTAATAAGTTGTAGTTAAATCAACGGTTGTTAAAAGAATTATTTAGAACATCACATCATATTTGTTTTATTCTTAAGTAATTTGTTATAAGTGATTTGCAGGTGACATCAAATATCATGATGGGGGTAAGGAAAAAAAAGTGGAACAATTAAAAAGAAAATTATACATTTATACTGCATTGTCTTATAACATTCTTGATAACTTTATATAATCTACTAATCCACGCAAATCTTTTACCGTTTTGAATAAAAGCAGCGTATTTAAACATAAGTCTTTTAAGTTTATAAATATATAAAAAAGCTCCTGCTTATTGATCTTTTTAAAAGTGAAGAGCTTTGAGGATTTTGTTTGTTCGGATTTTGCTGCAAGCACTTCCACGTCAATCAAAAGCTTCCTGGTATTACGGTATGTAAGTAGAAATGTTTTGAAGTCAAAAGAGCTCATTGAAATCCAACGAAAAAGTATAATAATAATTTTTGTACTTACTAATATTATTAATGCGGAAATCTGATTGTTTGTTACGTCTTTACCTTTAAGAACTTTAACTATATCATGTTGTAATTTTTTCAACATTTCACATTCTTAAGAAAAAGTTTTTATAATAATTTTACCACATTGCAGTATAATGAAAGTGATTTCCAAAAAAAAAACGCTACTGGTAATAGTAATTACATGCAGACAAAATCGCAGGCAAATGCTGATTTTAAGCTAAGTGCAAAAAAATCCCAATGTAAACATGTAAATTTGAATCTGATTTTGAAACAGTTCATTGCGAAAGATAAATAAATGCGTACAACCTGGCACCCTGGCAGTGTGTGTGTGTGCGTGTGTGTGTGCGCGCGTGTGTGTGTGTGCGTGCGTGTGTGTGTGTGTGTGTGTGTGTGTGTGTCTGTGTGTGTGTGTGTGTGTGTGTGTGTGTGTGTGTGTGTCTAAAACGTATTTAAATTTTATTTTTTAATAGTGTGTACTTGACACCAGGCGTACCCATATTTTACTAAGCTCTTGGAGAGTCTTATAGAGGCTAGCATTCACTCGGGGTAGTGGAAGTTTAATCTGTCTGTGGATCTCCAGGGTGTGCTTAATATATGTAAAGCTCAATATAATGTCAAAACTTTCATAACAAGGCTTGAAATACAATGGTGAAATGTGTCTTAATGGTAGTTTATATATAAACTCATATATTGAATATCTTTGTACACGCTGCAGGGGATCCGACGTGAAGATATATTGGTTTGGGTTGGAGAGAGCGAGATTAAAGAAATATATTACCCCGATAATTGTATGTATAGATAAGTATACATTTTATTCCGATTCTAGATTTTATAACATCAAGCATTTTGTTACTAAAATATGAAACTAATAGAACATTCAGTTGTTCGGGTTCGATGAGAACTTGATTTATTAAAGGACAACAAAAAAACTGTAACATACAAAAATACGTAAAAGCACGAATTGTCGGCGCAGGTAAGTGTAAAATTACGTCTAAAACCCGGTATTATAAGTATTTAATAATGCAGTGCGATAGTTTTAAAGTGAATATAAAAACAGTTCGTATGATCACCGACGTATATAATAGTGGAATAGAACAAACTACATACTCCGTTTCTAGGTTTTCCGTAATAGGTAGAATTTAGTAGATATTTCACGAAGATATACGTTTACATGTTTCTTATTTAAATAGGACTTATAATTATTAAATACAATAATATGATTAAATAATCTTGGTCGAGCCGGATGATTTTTTTACGATATGACATTCATAAAGAGCATTTGGATTATTAAATTACGAAAGGTGAATAATAAAAAGAAATGATGTTGAAGATCAAAGACAAAAAGTTTGCATACTGAAACCTAGGACGAAATAAACGATAATACGGCGCAGCTCTCTTAAAATACGTATAATTTATTCCACTTGCTGGTGCCATAGAGTAGTAAATACTTGCAGAATGTTAATAGTTTTACAAATTCATTTCTGATTTTGTATTTTAATAAAATTTTATTAAATATCTATTAGGGTTTAATGACGTCCTCAAGCTCTTATGAATGTTTTATATTTGAAAGTTTACATCGATAGTCACTTTCAACTGACGACAATTTTAATGGACGTTTATGCAACTGGGTGTAAAATGCTAGTGTTTATAATAATTATATGTGATCAGTGCCGAATTAGCTCTATAAGCAAATTAAGTAATTGCTTAGTGTAATTTGTCATTATCTCATTCTAAACTGACAAATTAAAAAAAAACGGTTTTAGAAATTAACAAGAAACACGAACTTCTAGCTGTGACATTTGTCTACAAAGACTCATTTATCACCGGAACTAGTTTGGTTCTTAGGAACCCTAGCAATTTGTGCCCTTTTCATCACGGCCTCATAAATAAGTGTCCAGATGAGCTAAGAATCCATTCTAAATCTAAGGAGGTGACTCGGTTGTCATATTCAACAAAACAGCTGTTCGGTGAATGCTTTGTACGCTATCTATGTTCCAAGATCGAAGCTTCTACAATATTCTACAGAAATTTCGAAATATACATTTGAGTTGCTCGTTATTTACTTATTAAATAATAAAGATGCTCAGTACATGATGTATTCGACATCCAGCTAAAGAAGTATAAGGCAGAAAAACCAGACGACAGCGAAAGGCTTATCAAAATACAGACAGACGGCAAACGAAATAATAGCTCATAGAATAAAAAATACTAACGTGAAAATGTCACATTGAAATTTTATACAAATGATTGTTTTAGATATATCCACATAATTTTAAAACAGCTTGAAGTTTGCGGGGTAGTTTATTAGGTCATTAATACTCAATTTAAATAGTTGAATCAAAGTTAAGTAGCTTTTAGCACTTATATTATGAAAATCTAAAGCAACATCCAGATCGGAGACCATATATAAAAAGTTAATTTTCTACATTGACACGATCGGAAATTGAACCCGGGACCTCAGGGACGGTGACACCTTAAAACAAGCGTGCGAGCCACTCGGCTACGGAGCTCGGAGGAATTTGGAATAGAAATAAAACAAAGTAAAAGTTCCACTCTATTCATCAGTGTAACTTCTGCTCGGTACATCTCTAATTTATTTTATTAATAAAATGACAGCAAAGGGAATCTTATATCACAAGAAAAACGCACTCTTGGCTATTGGATTACATAAGGCTTAATAAAGCTGAAGAATACTCGGATAACGTACTTGTTCAAATACGAAGTGCTGGCAATTATTTATTTAACAGGCACAAACATTGAAGTTACATTGAATTGTACAGTGTTAAAGTTTCTTAATTTGAAATATTTACACTGACGAATGTTAAGAAAATTGTACTCAAGTAGGTTATTTATTTAAAATATATCATTAAATACTAAAAATTTGACGGTTTTATTGTAATAAAATAAAAAAATAATTATAGTGAAAAAGGGACTGATTAATTTTGAAAATGTTATTTCTACAGTAATAAAATACGAAGAAAAATTTTATGTATTTGTCAAATAATTGTTGCCTGACATTCATTTTCGAAATCTTTATTAGAACAAAATGTACAGACATGCACTTGCTACGATTTACGTAGTTCAAGTCGACTTCGTAGTCGGTCGGTCAGTCGTAGCGACAACGCTAAGCTGCGTAGTCATGTGCTACCGTAACTCGTAGCAAATTCGACGCGAGTTTCGTGAAACTTTTTTTCGTTTCTTTCATTAGATTCGAGCGACATGATTTAAACTTGTATAGTTTATACTAATAAATAAGCGCATTAAAGTTTTGTGTTTTATGATATTATTATTATGATCGATAGTTATAATATTACTTTATAAACTTTTCAAAATGGTGATTAACTATTACTATGAAGACACATTGACTGGGACTACTTCTGAAATAGACAAGAAGTTCTGGGATTATTTCGATGTAACGCCTACTGCTAGTAATGTGAATTTTACGTTAGAGATACAAGACACTTTGCCTAGGGACCAGGCGGCCGTATTGGCGACCTATGGGCTATTGTTGGCCATCGGTGGTATAAGTAATATAGTTGTGTTGATCTCATTGGCAAGAACGAGGCGAAGGAAGTCCAGAATCGATCTGCTGATGACGCATTTGGTTCTAGCCGATGTTTGTGTCACATGCGGTGTAATCCCTTTAGAGGTGAGTATTTTAGAAATAAGGAAAAAATATTATGTTCTACAAATATATAAAGAATTTATGAAGTATATACGAAAAGGAAAGGAAAGAAAAATTCTTTTATTATCAATATCTGACTTCCACTTTTGATAAATCACTAGCGTAGCGCAGTAACTTAGACTGGCTGCAGTTTGAAAGCTGCTGCGTGAGTCGTACAGTTAAGGTTTATTACTTTATTAAATACAATTCAATATTATCAATTAGATATTTGGTAAATGCAACCAATGGCGATGGATAAATTGTAATTGTTAAAAAACGATAAATTATGTCTTACTTGTTAATTGCTATATTATAATTGTAATACTTTTTAAATTCATTAAAAATACTTTTTTATTTAACTTGGGCGTGGTCGCCTAATATATATTATTTGTAATAGGTATGGATTAATTATAATAATCTTTCATTGATTGATACAAATAAATAAACAAGTTAATTGATAGTTTAAATTGTTTCATAGAACAATTAAAAAGTTAATTGCAACCAACCGCTAACAACGAGAGACATATGCGGTTGAGGGAATTGCTTTATTCACACATATTGACGAAATTTGGGTAGTTAAAATCGTACTGAGTTAAGCACAGATTCCTTCAGTATATTTTGAATTTATCTTGTAAATACAGAGTAATTATACGATAATTAATATAAATTCCAATTAGACCTTATTTATTAACGCTAAATATTCGATTTTACAGATCAGAGGATAATACCTTATTAAATTATTTTTAACTTAAGCAAATTTGTGGATAAGTTTCTTATTCGCGATTCAAATTATTTTCTATGAACAATAATTGACAAAGTAATTTCTGTATTCTATTATAAGTATCATATTTGGTTACTTTCCTCTATCAGTTAAATATAAATAAATAAAGTATAAATAAACGTGAACATTTTTTCTTTTTAATGTAATTGATAACATTTACACCCTCGTCTTCATAAATTGTTATCTCTCTTTCCATCCCATGGTTGCCTGGAAGAAATCGCTTTAAACGATAAGGCCGCCAATTGTTACATTATTTTGTAAGAATATTTTAAATTTGTAAATGTTCTTTTCTATTTTCTATTCTATTACACAGCCCCTAAAATGAATAGAAAACAAAGTAATCATATAAGGGAAACGCGGCAAACTAATACGAAATTATAAACCTACTAAATAATTAAGTAATTTATTTAAAATATGGTAAAGTATGTGTCCCGCCTCTGATGCACTGTATAATTAGGTATAATAATTATCAATTTAATGTGTCATGCACCATAGCCAATAGAAAATCCAATCTACTTACTAGATATGAGTGAATTACTCTATATAGATAAATAATATATATAGATAAGTTTATTTTAATTCTAAATTCCCAACTAGAGCGTGTTATTTCAGTATGCTTAGGATCCTATTTTAATCAAAACTTTACGCCCAAGGGACGGAACGCGATACGATACAGGCCAATTACTGGTCTCTCCCATGAAGTGTGATTGACGTTTTATTTCATCCTACTTCTTGAGTATAGGAAAATTTAGGACGACGCAGGGATTTGATCTTGCGGCCTACCTAGGAAGTGTTCCGTCACATGAAATCTTTTCCTAAACCGACTAGGAGGAGTACTTTATATAACTCAAGTAAAGACTAAATATTTTTCCAAAATAAGTACCCAAAAATAAAGATGCTTTATACTGTAATGCTATTAAGTTTGATATTAGTTTTCTTATTTGCGTTCACTTCATCTGATAAGTCACTGTTACCGGCATCTCTGATACACTGAGTAGCACATCGGCTTCCTGTGGATCCATTTTAAACTTATTTTATTATCAACAGATTTAGGTGAATTCTAAGCATATTGCTAGTTCAATAATTTGACGTTGGATGAAATGGTCAATCGCACTTCACGGATGAGACCACTAATGGGCACTAATGTATCATATCACGTCCGGTCCTATGGGTGTAAAGTTTATTGACAGCGTTTTTCCTGAAATAAAACACTTATTAAATACTTACCTTATTTGAATCTTTATGGTTTGAGATAGGCTCTATGGTTTCCTGTCTGCCCATTTGCCTCTTTTTCTACATATTTTGCCTTTCACTCGCACATCTGACGTCACTCGCATATCTAACTCAACCACCAGGCAAGCTTTGCGCGCTTGCTTCATTGAGTCGAAAAACCAACCAGCCAGCGTTAAATTTAAGTTTCAAACAAGGTAAGTATTTAATAAGCGTTTTATTTCAGGAAAAACGCTGTCATTAAACACTTGACCGTTATTTGAAACTTATGGTTTGAGACGTGTTTGTTATCGCCTGGTGGAGATGAACGACGCCAATGTGATGATAGGATACATTAGACTTGAAAATGGATTTGAAAGAAAATTACACAATTGTTTGTTTCATATTATAGAGTTCGATGTACGAGGTACTTAATCTTTGTATCAAATTAAATAAGCATGATATTTTGTAGCAAAGACTTACTAAATTATTAAGTCAATTCAAATTGTAATAATGACTAAACTGAAAGTAGTTCAAAATCAGTGATGCTGCTTAAATTTATATAATTAATCAATTTGTAATCGTTACATAAGTATTTATAATATTTTGATTCGTACTAGCTGAAGTTGGAATTATTTCACGTTAATAAAATTTTCTAAAAGTATTTTCAGATCTCCAGTTACCACGAGATAAGATTTCGTCGACTGGAAGATTATTTGTCGATCTTGTAATAGGTTCATACATTAATTTACCCAATTAACGGGTTTGAGATTTTTATATCTTGTATTTGTCATTATTTTCCGATCCGATTGCCTGTAGTTAGAATTATCAGATTTAGATCCAAACCTAGGCCATAAAATAATGTAGTCAACATTTCTCTTAAAATGGTCAAAATCTACTGCTAATAAAGTAAGGTCATAAACTCTACAACCTAAACCAAGTAATATTGCAGTGTGTCTAGAGACTAAGAATTTGCTTTCTTTATCAAAAGTATAATGTTGTAAAAAAGACACAAGAGTACCAACATCCCAAACAGACGTTTTGTGTGTTACGGGGTATTTTAAAGAAATTGACTTAATAACGTGTCGAATAAACACGTGAAAACTATGGGAACCTGATAGTTCTGTATTACACAACATGGATATTACGTAACAATACTGTGTTATAAGAACATGATTCTTTAAGGTATAAATCAGTTGGAAACCTTGCTAGTACTGAACCATTACGTTGAAAAGCATTAAACTTATCTTATTCCATTTAAGCCACCTAAGCCAGGCTGCCCTATATTCGCCCCTCCGGGGCCGTGAGACACCACCTCGGGGGTGGCATGGCTCCGGAGGGGCGGTCATTGGATCACTCATCATCACACACACATACATCACACTTACGGACACACTCGCATACACTCATTCACTAGCAGACACACACATACATCGTCACTCATACACTTAATACTAACTACAACTACATATTACATAAACACTTACCTTATTCCACTTACCTTTCCCCTCCCCCGCCCCGTCGGCGTTGCTTCCATCCCTCTCCTTAGAGAGGGCACCGGATGCGATGCCGGTGGGCCGGGGGGGGGGGGGGACGCGGGCTTCTTGTTCCTGGTGGGCAGCCAAATTCCCGTGCCTCAGATCTTTCCGTGCGGACCGGACGACGGGCCTCTGGTGGCGGGAGCACGACAGTGTTCCCGTACTCGAGGTCTTGAATCCGCGAAGGTTACCTTCTCGCCTTGCAACCCTGCTGGTTACGATCGGCAGGGAGGCTCGGAGAGCTGGTAGTGAGGAAAACCGAGGAGTCGGCCGGCGTATGCTGGTGAGGGAATTTTCCATCTTGCTCTCTGGTAGTGGGGCCGTCGGGGCCGGACTGCCCCACACACCGTTCGGTGTGTGGAGTGATCGGGCCTCGGCGGGGCCACTATCAGAGCGCGACTAAGGAACGGAATACCGGTGACTGGTTCGGTGCACGCTGGGCTGGACATTGGTATCCGGGGCTATCGGGGTGAGGGATTCACGAGGGTTCAGCCCGTGTGAATTCCCTCTCTTAGACGGGCAAGGGTGGGAGATGCTCAATTGCGCATCTCCTGCCTTTGACAGGGGGCAAGTCTGGCGGGTTAGCGCGCTCGCCAGGCATTGCACGCTCCTTGTCCTGTCTGGGGTTGGACTCGAATGTTCCTGAGCCCTTCCCTAACCCGAGACGGGACTCGCCCTGTTAAGGGGTGGGTCGAGCGGGGACGGCATGCGCGGGAAGTGGTCCCGTTGGGGACCGTTACCGCGCGCTGATCCTCCGCAGTGAGGGACATCGCTGAGTTTTAGTGGGTAGGCCTCTGCTCTTTGACCAGTCCCATTCTGGGGTTGGTCCGCAGGGGAGAGTCCCACATAACCCGTGGAGCTCGCGCAGGGTAAAGCGGGTATGCGGAATGCATTTCTCAGCGTCAAAAAAAAAAAAAAAAAAAAAAGGCTGCCCTATATGACTTGCGCGTAGATGAGCGCCATGATGACTGCAAGAGATTGAGCTGGGATGCGTCCCAATCAGTTAGGTTACTTGACCAGCCCTACGAATCCATATTTCCAGTATCATCTCTTGTACTTTCGAAGGTGGAAGATTCGTTGAGGTGTCGATCAGGTAACGACTTAGGTGGGGTATGGTAAATGGTGGAACCAGTGCTCTGGATTTCAGATCTGCTCTCTAAAATACTGAATCTCACTGCGGAAATAAGTGCCTTGAGCTTGGTTGAGGTGATTTAACTTTTTGGGAATTAGATAAGGAGGAGGGAAAATCCAACCTTTCACATAGACGGGAAAAAGCTCTGTGATAAATTGCATTAACATCGTTTTGGTCCAAAGAAACATAATTCGCTACGACATCAGCAGTATTTGATGCAAATAAATCTATCACAGGTACACCAAACTTTTTGAACACAATTACAATTACGCAGGTAGAAGATGCCACTCTGGTGGTAATCAGAAACGACATATGTAGATGATCTGCGTGGCCGTTGTACCTTCCCGGTATGTAATACGCAATTATTCAAATTGAATGTAGCTTCATTAACTGAAAATTTTGGTATGTCGTATTAATAAGAGATGCAGATTTTGTTCCACCTTCTTTTCTAATATAAGCAATAGCTCGTTTGTTGTCGGACTGATCACGATGACTGGTCTTCTGAAACTTTTAGTAGCACAAGAAGTTCTTTCTGGTTGCAATGTATGGATTGTTCTAAGGGTGTACATTGTCCCGAGAAGGCTTGGTTGTTTAATTGCGCTCCTCAAGCTATGTCCGACGCATCTGTCGTGAGAAAGTGACTTGACTGAGATAGGTGAATAGGAGATGCACACTGATGTTTCTGAACCCACCAGGTCAGGTCCTTCAATGTCAATTCTGGAAGATGATGTTGTCTGTCATTCAACGTCTTTATACAATGGTTTAAAAAATCTAATAGATCTCGATAATGTAATCTCCCTTGAGGGACTACGAAGCTGGAAAAATTCAACAGATCGATAAGGCTCTGTAAATCTTTTAGCTGCGCTACTTTCATTGTTAATAGCTTGTTAATATCTCTAACCTATTCCAAAGAATCCCCAGAAAAACAAGGCTTTCTTGAGGAACTAGATTTTCCAGACTTACTTGCCACCCAAGAAACTGCATTCTTTCGAGTACGAGCTGAGCTCGAGATTGTAAGACTTGCTGATCTTAGTGGGCCATGAGAAAATCATCCAAGTAAATAGTTATACGTATCCCCTCTGCTCGTAGACTTTGGGCTACCCAGTTTGTGACTTGCACACTCAACGGAAATATCTTTTGAATCGCAATAATTGGGTTTGTATTTTTTGATAAAATTTCGAAAATTCAACATTAGAAAAAATTATTACTTTTCGGAAAACAAGAAAAATAGATTTTCAGACAAAATTTAAACCTTTCGTTGGATTGATGAGCAGATATCTCCTGTAGTTAAATCAGTTTTAATACATTTTAGTAATGTGAGTGTATTCTTTATGTAATACGTTTCAGCATATTGAGCAGTATTGCGTAACAAATTCCTAAATAAAGTAATATAATTGATAATGTAATTTGATATCGATATAGCTTTTGATTTAATTGATAATATAATTGGAGATTATATTCGTGTCAGTCATTTAATTCGAATGAATAGAGCATTTATTTGGAATGAAACGGCTGACATAGTTAATTAATAATTTATTTTATTTTTTCAGGAAAACAAACAGTGATATTAAATCTAATACATAATACTGTAACGATAACTGTTCACCAATTACATTGCTTTTTCTTTAAATTTGCTTTTTGATGTAAAAAAAAGTATACATATATAAAAAGATGCAAGTATTTGCTTCTTAATTAATTAATTATTTATTGTAAGGGAACCGACTCTAGTCAATAGTCGAATACGGCTTTTTTGAATATAGTTGGATTTGAACAGAATATGTCCACATCCAAAAAGTCAATCAACTGATTAAAAGATTTTGTGGATCTA